TTCCATTAAACATCTTTTAAATAAATCTAATAGTTCATTATAATGCTAATAAACAAAGTCCGGTCCCTGTCACAGAGTTCGGGTCTCTGCCCAGTTCCCCCACTCCGTTAACCTTTCTTTAGAAATTGGCAACATTTGCGCCGGTTAAACACCGGTGTATGTTATATCTCTGGTCTCTTTTATCTAAAAGCGAGAAGCCAAAATTCTGCATTATCTAGTCGGCTATGTTTCAGCCTTTAGCAGCTGTGTTTACTTAGCTGTTGTTTCGACACGTTAAGTGAAGCAAGTAAGATTGTTTATGGATTGTTTATAATGTTGGACAGTGACGAAAATATAAGTGTTAATATAGAAAAGTCAATGAAAAATCGTAAAAAATATGGCCGCCTTAGAGATGTTGCTAAGAAGCTAAGGGCATCGACGTTTGAAACTGGAAAAAGATACCAATGCAAGCGGTATAGGTGCTTTGAGAATATTTTTGTCGCCGAACAAAGTGAGTTAATAAGACAATTTAATAATATCGGACGTGAGAATAGTCATGATGTCCAAAATAGTTACTTATTTGGCCAAGGCAAAATGAAGAAGCTGCTAGATTAAATGAAAGCTCCTACAATCACTTTTTGGAATTAAAGCCTTTCGATTACATACAATCAAAACATCTTTAAGAACAACTGGTGAGCCGCCGATTGATGGATGGGGAAAGCGCATACCAATTAATAGACCTCATAAGATGTCTCAACAAACCCGTGATTTGTCATTGTAGTTTTTGGCTACTTAAAGGGACGTAAAGCGCACTACAGCTTGAAGGACTCTCAGGGCCGCCGAGAGCCAGACCGGGCCCCAGGACAATTCTCCAGATCGGGCCCCGCGATAATCCTATGCTTGCTTTTTAAAAAAAAAAAAAAAAGGTCTTCGAGCCAAAGTGTCTCCTCCTCTTCCTCCTCTACTTGAATATCTCTAAAAAAACACAGGTTCTCTCGACAAAGAACTTCCCCCCTCTTCTATCGAACATCTAAAAGTAACAAAGAGTAACAAACACCGCTGTCGGGCCCCCATTTGAGTCCGGGCCCCGGAAATTAGTCCCGGCTAACCCCCCTCTAGTTGGCCCTGGGTATACTTCCTGGAAGATATGAATGTTAAAAAGCTTCTTGCATTATTTTTGACTAAACAGCCCCATACTGAGATGTGTTATGAAACATTCAGACAAATCTTTGTGTCAGAGTTCAACATCGCATTCGGTTGTCCACGAACCGAAACGTGCTGTTGGTGTGATGAGCAGAAAGCCAAAATTAATGAGCTGGATAGGAAAATTTCCGCTGAAAAAAGTGATGACAAAAAGGTAAAGTTAGACGAGGAAGGTAGGAAGCTAGAAACTGAGAAGACACTTCATTTGAAGAGAGCAGATTGGTTCTATGAATTGAAAAGGCCTGCAAAAAATGAAGCTAGAAAATCGTCAACTGTAGAGGCTATCGCTATAGATTTTGGAAAAAATCTCCCTACTCCGAATATAACTTCTGCTGAGGTGTACTTCAGAAGACAGCTGTCATTCTATATTTTCAATGTGCATATTTTGTCAACTGGTGCTTCAGTAATGTACACCTACGACCAAACCATCGCAAAGAAAGGGTCAGATGATGTTGCCTCAATGCTCTATCATTTTTTCAATACCTACCTGGATCCTGCTGTTAAGAAACTTTATGTCTTCTCCGATTTGTGCCTGGGACAAAACAAAAACCACACCATCATCCAGTTCTTCCACTATGTAAATGCTGATCTAAAAAGATTTGACACTGTGACAATCACTTTCCCAGTGCGCGGCCATTCCTTCATGGAGCCCAACAAAAACATGGGGTTGATCCCCAAAAGTGCTAAGGTTGAAACTCCAGATGGCTGGAGAGAGGTTATAGAAGCCGTCCGAACCAAGCCGTATTCGTTTGTTGTGGTATCATGTGAACAAGTTACGTTTAATGGGGTAATTTTTTGTCCTCCAAGTTGTATAAGAAAAAGTTATCTTTTCCTATTAGGCAACTAAAACAGTTAATGTTCATTCAAACAAAAAGCAAAACCGTTAACCATAGGGAAACATATAACGGAAGTTACATGTCATCATTGATCAACGGAAGAACCAGAAGAGAAAATCAAACGTACCAGATCTTCATCAAGAACCCAACCAGCTCTACCATAGCCCTATACCTCTGCCCAAAGAAAAGTGTGCTGATCTAAAAGTTCTAATGAAACTGTGAAGAAGAAGGATCTAAAGAGTACTACAGCCAACTTCTCTCTGCTAACCTGCCTGTAACCAGAATCAGAAGATGTGCCTGATGATCAAAGTAATTTTTAGAGATCAGATTATTTCAGTCTTTAGTTTACGGATTGTTTTGTTCTTTATCATGTAGAAATGCCTATAATAGCGAAACAAAGAATTTAAAAAAGTATAATTTTTTTCTGATCAACTCAGTCAACATTTTGTTTAAATAAAAAATAACTAACTACAAAATAAAAATACAATCATAACATTACTTTAGCTATTAAAAAAAAGTACATATCGAACTAAATATAAAAAAATATTTGTCTGGAAAAACTTCAAAAGCGTCGGATTTCTATCGTTTTAAATTTTTTTTCTCCTGGAAATTATCAATTTTGGACTCTGTTGGTTTTTGCCCTGTACCCTTCATTTGTAAGTGACCGTCAGGAATTTATCACTGGGCCTACTTTAAGAAAACTGACGCCCGGGTAGCATATTTGTAAGTAGCAGACGCAACATAAAATCGTGAAATGGCGAACTGCAATTTGTATGTAACAGACTTAGTACAACCAAAACTGCTAACACGTCTTCTACATACGCGTGATTGATTATTATAGCGCAAAACAAAGCACTGCTCTATTTGTCAATTCGTATTTTGTGTTCGTTCGTGCCAATTTAACCAAACACGTTTTTATTTATATCTGTCTAAAGAAAATAATATGAATGAAATAAGTGAGATTTGGTTTCCGAAGCTGTATGATTGGAAGGTAATTAATAAATCCACCTACAAATTAAGAATTAAAACAAAAGAAGATGTAGAGGTATGTAAACAAAATTTCTGAGTTATGTTTTTGGGCGCTTAACGCTCTATGTATAAAAGCCAAAAGCCTGCCGAGGACTCTTTTTGGTAACGTTTTTTTGAGGAGCATGGAGATTATTTTATATTTTTTCGTGTATTAAAGGTGTGTTCCTTGGGTTTTAAACTGTAATTTATATTATTTTTTTGGTTGATAAGTATATTTATATCTAAAAGCGTATAGTGAAAGGTTTAGCCATAAGGGCAGCGATGACTTAAAAATTCATCAGACTCGTACAAAGTAATAATTATTGATAGACACATCATTAATTAAACTGAGAACAGATATTGATTTATCACAAAAAATTCGATGTTGCTATGTAAAATATGCAGGGTTATCGTTCTAAAACCTGAGATTGGCTACTGCATTACTGCATTCAAATATAAAGGCGTTTCTTCAAAAAATAGGACTTCTACCATAGCAACTCGCCGCAAAGGAAATAAAATTCCTATTCAACCTACGTCAGTAGCAAGAAGCAAAATGGAAGGAAAAAATATCTTTTCTGAAAGAAAATCTTTTAGACACAGTGGAAAAAAAAGCAGCACATTCATTAAAAATGTGTGTAGAAAAAAACGTAGGGCTTGGTGATAATAAATTCCAAAAATAAGGTTTTTCTGTTTTTTTTTTTAATTTGTTGTTAGTAGTAATATTAATAAATTAGCCATTAAGTTTTTTAAGATCTCACTACCATCATAAATAATTTACTAAGAGATGTAAATAAATTAGTAAATTTTACTAAGCATCCTTGTGTCTTTCTTATTCTTTTTAATCGGTTAGGTATCTGAAGGCATGATTTTTGATTTAATCGTTGTGTATGTAACAGACGCGTTACTAGTTTTAGTTGGAATACGTCTGCTACATACGAATTACTCTTCGGCAATTTCCGAATGTTAATAGATTGTATTCTGCGTCCGTTACATACAAATATGCGCCCGGGTAACCCTTATTCTAAATAACAGCCTGGCATCATCCACGATTTCCATACAAGTAAAATAAGAAGACGTGTCATACAATGATACTCTAAAATGTTGAAAGCAATGTTTTGTGTAAGAAAAAAAAATACAGCAAAATATGTATATTTCAAATAAGTCAGTAAAAATACAAATTCATAATCAATCTTAATCAAAAAGGCAGTGTGTGATGTTAGATAAAGGTATCTATTATATTTAAATTTATTATAATATAAAAATAGTTAACATTAATTGAGCGTTTTAATATTTTGTAAAATTGAGCCTTCATTATAGTATAATATACAGAGGTGGGCCACTGGTAATGCCTAGGTTTATAGAACCATAACTAATTCGCTTTCCTGAAGAATCCTGTATGATTGACATTATTTTTAAATTGCTGCTTTTTCTGATATACAGAGTGGCCCAAAAATTTGGAAACGGCCAATTATCTCGTAAATTACTGGTCGTAATTGTACAAAATTTAGGGTACACCTATTTTGGGATTCGGTGATTCCAGATTTGATATTTGCAAAGTTGCCAGATTTGCCGTTTCTCTTAAATTATTAGTCACTTTGGTTTTTCAAATTCATCACCCTGTATGTTCAGTCATTATTGGAATCTCCTTATTCAATGTAACACTTATGATTTTATGTAGTCGGGAAGGTCTTAAATAAATAAAATAAGTCTGGCAACGCCTAATTGTATTAATACATTTTTTAATGCAAACTATTTTCAACTACATTAAAACGTCACAATTGAAAGATTATAACATTTTTAACATAATGGTTACTTTATCAAGTGTTCAAAAAATGCTCCATTTGTGAGTTACATATGGTTGAACTCGTATTGAATAGGAGATTTTAATAATGACTGAATATGCAGGGTGATACATTTGAAAAACCAAAGTGACTAATAATATAAGAGAAACGCAAATCTGGCAACATTGCAAATATCAAATCAGGAATCTCCGTATCCCAAAATAGGTGTACTCCAAATTTTGTACAATTAGGATTAGCAATTCACGAGATAATTGGCCGTTTCCAGACTTTTGGGCCACTCCGTACATTTCGCTGTGAAACAGATTAAAAAGAAACAATTAAGGTTGGCTCTACAGGCCGAGGCGTTACCGGTAGCCCACTCTGTATAAAGTGGAATAAGATATATTAAAAAGTAATCAGACTATTTAAAAATGAGTCAGTACGTGAGTCTAATGCTTATTATAGACAAAAAAAAAAAGACTTCATCCTGACACATTAATATTAAGTGAGATTCAATATTTTAATATTAGATACAAAATATAAAACAAACATGCTATAATTATCAAGTTTAAAAAATGTCAAAATTAATGTAAGTACAATATGGACATGTAAATTTTAAGGGGGTTCTCAGATAATGAATAGAAACTCCAAAACTTTGTACTCATTAAAATGATTTTTTATTCGATTTCAAAAATTAAAAAACCAGTTAAAAGGATAAATAAAAGTACACAAATTGATGTTTTTTGATTTTTGAAATACGAATTTCTGCAACTTGCATATTTTTAAAATAATCGACAATCTTTAATTTTTGTTTTAAAAATAAGTACAACAGAACAAGTGAGAAGAGGGCCCAGGAGAAATAGATACACATTGGCAAAAGTATATATTGGAGGTGATAACTCACTTAAGTATTTCGATCTGTCTCTGGTTATTCTATTTATTCTCCTACACATCTCGCGGGTCATTTCTTGCTTGTATTGTACAATTAGAAGTAATCAAAAATTATTTGAAGGCGTACTAGGCAATACCCTTAAAGGAGTACTTCTAGTAGTCCCCTTAGGAGTAGTACAAAACCTTTTTGGAGTTCCTTTGACTGGCAGTGCCCTCTTAATGTGAGGCAGTGGAGTAGAAAATTGCTTTCCCATCAAATTATTTTCTTTGTTCTCTTCTTTGACTTCGAAAAACTGACGACCTTCAAAATTATTATATTTCTGCTTTAGGTAGGTTTTTTTAGGAGTGATATTCCCGCTACGTCTCAAAACGCGACGTTCCCTCCTTAAAGATGAATTTCTTGGAAAATTTTTGTCAGAAATATTTATTGATGAAGGTGAGCCTATGATCATACCCAAATTACTACAATCTGTGCTATAATTGTTTACTGTATCTCCGGTAGAATTGAAAGTAATATTGGTGTTGCTGGTAAATGAAGGGGTACCAAATACGTTAGCATTTATACAAATATTGTTGCTGACAGGAGACGAGACACTTCGTGTTAATTTTGTGCCTTTTAATTCTTTAGAAATATGCTGCAGAGAATTGATTCTAACCAATTCACGAGACCTTCTCCTTATATTACCTATTTTTCTAGCACTCGGAGATCGGATAATTTTTTGATCTGAATTTCTGATCTTCAAATCTTTGCTTAATTTTCTCGCCAGTTGATCAGTGCCTAAAAAATAAATATTGAATATAATTATTTGTTCTCCAACTACATGAATAAGACGTCATCATTTCTATTAGATACACCCTATACACATACATATATGTTTCATGTTTCTTAGAAAACAAAAAGAAACAAAGAATGCTGTCTCTTAAAACGGAAACTACTGATAAAGCATAAATGCATATTCTCCAATATAGAAATATTAATGAGTTAGTCATAATACTGTAGCGATATAATAAATAATAAAGCCCTTTGCTAGTATTTAAATTTATATTGTTTTATTTGTTTTAGTTTTTGATGAATTAATGATCGAGCTTTTTACAGCTGGAGGAAATTTAACAGAAATAGCCCACCTCCTTCTCACCCTACCAACATCCTATGATGGTATAGTAACTGCTATTCATACTTTAACAGATGATAATTTGAGTCTTGCATTTACAAAAACTAAATTACTCGACTACGAAACAAAGTTGTAAAACAATAGTAGTGATACCAGTAGTAAAGTGTTACAAGTAGAGAAGCATCAAACTAAAAAGTTCTTTATTCCAAATAAATATAAACATAATAACCAAAGAGCAAAATTTTCCAACTAAACAACAAACATAAATTATCCATATCAAGGAAATAGAAAATCACAAGGACGGTTTTATTCTAATATAAAGTGTAGACATTGTGGACGCAAAAACCATACAATAAGACGATATAAAAAATAAATATTGCACTTGGCTAAATTAATTCAAGAATCTAAATGGTTGTCTGTCAGGTATGTACCTATATCATGAAGACTTAATTCAATATTTACCGATATCAGTACCTAGAATGTAAACTGAACTATGTCCTACTATTTATAGAGACATGTTGGAGATATATGACACTAAATCATATAAAAATTGTTATCAGAACATAGTAATATGTTACTCTACTAAAAAGTTGACTAGAATGACTACAATTTACCTCCGATGCACTGATTACCCATTAAATAATTTTCAAAACTTTGACTTTATCATTTTTTTATTGTACCTATTTTTTTAGTCTATGTTATTGTTTTAGCCTTTATTATACAGGGTGTTTATTAATTGAGTGCCCATACTTAAGGGTGTGAATCCTTGGGTGATTTTAAGAAGAAAAGTTAATATCAACATATTTCGTAAATCTCTTAATTTTTGAGCTACAGGGTGTTACAGTTTTAAGAAAAAAATATTTTTTTTTTCATAATTTTCTTATCACTGCAGATATTTCTATGAAATTTTGTAAACACCTTTTAATCATTAAGGAGCATTTTTTGACGTATAAGATTTTTTTAAATTTTTACCAGTGACTTCCGTACGGGGTTTGAACTGAATATTTTTGAAGAAAAAAATGGTACGCCACTGTTTTTTCTAAAATCCAAAATTATTTTTGAAATATTCATTTATTTTTGAGCAAATTTGGCCCATAGACTTGCTTTCGTACGATGCACTGTGTTAGAGTAAAAAAATAAAAACCAAAATTTTTTTTTTCTTAAACTGCTTTTGATTTTTTGTTGAAATTTGGTAGGCACCCACCATGCGTGAAAACACTTATTTTGGGGCAAAAATTAATTTTCTACTTCCACCCGTGACGGCCACGTAGGCATCATATTGAATGTTTGGATAGAAAAAAAAAACGTACACCTCTGATTTTTTTAAATTCTATGTATTTTAAAAATCGGGATTTATTTATAGTAAAATGAAAATTCAAAATCTTGAATCTAAAACGAAATTACAAGAGAATACAAACAAAATAAAGAACCCAAATTATTTACAGTAATTGTTGGAAGTGTCCTCCACCCACACGTATGCAAGCATCTACTCTTCTTCGCATAGACTGACGCACATTTTCAAATATTCCTGGGGTGTTTCTTATGGTTTGGCAACGGACTGTTATACGATTTCGTAACTCTTCTTCGGTTTGAATCGGCACTGCGTACACTAAGCTTTTCAGATGCCCCCAGAAAAAGAAGTCTAAACTATTAAGGTCGGGAGATCTAGGCAGCCATGACTGCGTTCCTCCGCGACCTATCCACCGATTGCGATAGGTGTGCTTTAAAAATTCACGCACTCGTAAGCTAAAATGTAGAGGCGCACCATCGTGCATTAGCCACATCTGGTTTCTTAATAAAAGAGGAAGGTCTTCAAGCATTGGCGGCAGATCATCTTCAAGAAAGTGTAAATATGATTGTCCGTCAAGTCTTCTTGGGAGAAAAAATGGGCCTATCAAATAATCATCAATAATGCCAGCCCAAACATTTAATGAGAACTGTTCTTGATGATTTGACTCAACAATTGCATAAGGGTTTTCATCCGCCCATAAATGATTATTATGGAAATTTATTATTGAGTTTCGAGAAAAATTAGCTTCATCGGTAAAAAGAATGTGCCTGTCAAATAATGGATTTTCCAGCAGGTTTTGAAGAAACCACTCACAGAAATTATTGCGCAACGGGAAATCTTTAGGGAGTAATGCCTGGACTCTTTGAATGTGATATGGGTATAACAAATTTTCGATGAGAATTTTCCAAACAAGTACATGTGAAACATTAAATGTTGACGCGATTCTCCTCGTGCTAGTTTCGGGGTTCTCCTCAATTTCATGTAAAATTCCTTCTTCAAGTTCTGGTGTTCTTACTGTTTGACGGACTCCTTTAGCCCTGTGGTCTACTTTTAAAGTTCCGGTCTCGTGAAGACGTCTATGAATCCTAGAAAATGTTCTCGGATCGGGTAGTACGCGATTTGGATACCGCTCTTGGTATATCCGTCTGGCTTCGTATGCATTTCCGTCTGCAAGCCCATAACTAAAATGCATGTCAGCTAATTCACTGTTCGTAAAATTTACCATTTTTTTTCAGATTTTAACTCTTACTCTAATAATAATTATTTAATAATGTAAAATCAATGTCAACTTTATTGTCTTTATGAAAAGAAACGTCAAAAATGATGACGCTTTACCTAGCCTTCTAATGTTTATTTCATTTGCTTTAAGAGGGCAATAATGCGCTTACCATTTTTTTTTTCTATTCAAAACGTAGAAAATTAATTTTTGTCCCAAAAAAATGTTTCCACGCATGGTGGGTGCCTACCAGATTTCAACAAAATATCAAAAGCAGTAGGTATCAATGAATTTAAGGAAAAAACTTAACCAACCACTACAATGGTTTTTATTTTTTTACGCGAAAACGGTGCATTGTACGAAAGTAAGTCTTTGAACCAAGTTTGCTCCAAAATAAATGATGATTTCAAAAATAATTTTGGTTTTCAGAAAAAGCAGTGGCGTACCATTTTTTTCTTCAAAAATATTCAGTTCAAAACCCGTACGGACGTCACTGGTAAAAATTTAAAAAAATCTTATACGTCAAAAAATGCTCCTTAATTATTAAAACGTGTGTACAAAATTTCATAGAAATATCTGGAGTGATAAAAAATTATGATAAAAAAGTAATTTTTTTCTTAAAACTGTAACACCCTGTAGCTCAAAAATTAAGTGAGTTACGACATATGTTGATATTAACTTTTCTTCTTAAAATCACCTAAGGATTCACACTAGGGTGTATCATTTTTAAGCAACTTTTTGTTTTCAACTAAAAAACAGGCTAAAAACTTTCAAGAAGGTGAAAAAAGAAGCCTCTAAAAATTTGAGCTTTTAATATTATCATTTAGTGGTGCCTGTTCTTAACTTTCCATTTTCCATCTAAATAACATGGATTTTTTTTTCTTTCCTTATTTTTGTAGCTTGATATTTGAGCATTGTAAAAATAAACTGAAACATTATTTTAGTAGGAAATTGAACGCTCTACAAAAAGTTCTAATGTATTTTTTTCATAGAGTGAGCCGTTCTGAAGATATTCAAACTTAAAGTTGCAAATGTATGAAATTAGGACATTTATTTTATTAAACTGATGACTTTTTTATGTCCTAAAAATTATTTTCAAGAAAACATCATTATTTTCATATAGAAAGAAAATAACGACGCACAGAAGACAAAAATTCACCAGAAATATTTTTAAACCAAAATATGAGTGACTTTGTTTCAAAACAATCATTAAAACTTTTTGACAAATTTGATTTGCCGTACGACTTTCTGGATGCAAATGTCCTAATTTGGCCAGATAATGAAAGTTATCAAGATAATTTGGAGTTTTTCGAAAAATTAAAAGTTGAAAAGAGTGAAAAGCGCCAAATTTTGCCGATATATTGGCAATTATCTTGCCGATACGATACCGATAATCGGCAACAACTACCGATAATCGGCAACAACTGCCGATATACCGATATCAATATCGGTATCGTTCTATCCTTAGTAATCAAAGACATTACAACATAGAGACAAAATGTTTCATTCATAAATCTCATACAATTGCGTACTGTTGTTTTAAAATTGTTAGTGAGTGAAAGAGAGAAAGACAGATCTCTTAGGACCGGCTGGCAACGTTGTAAACAGTGTCCATAATATGAGTTTTAAACTTACCAGTATTGTCAGAGTAGTATGTTAAAAAAATACGTAAATAAGTAGGTATATTTTTTTTAGTAATTATGATGATTTTTTCATGTAGGTAAATTCAAGTACAAATAAATTCAAATACAAGAGAATTCAAGTTACCTTCCGATTTTAAATATTTATTGTTTTATAGTTTATTGGCATTTACTATATATTTGCCTGGTATGATGTTAACCAAAATTATTTAAAATTTTAAATTAACATTAAGTACGTAGAAATATCTAAATAAAACACTGTCCTAAAAATATATATATAATTTTTTAATTATTAATTACAAAAAACATGGTATGGCAAAAATATCGTAAAAAAAATGTAAAGATTTTTAAAATAACATTTTAAATACCTTAATTTTATTAAATAAAATTTCATTTCATTTTTTTATGCTTAGTTATTAGTGGTATTACTTACTGCAATGTTTTTTTTTTCCAGCAGGTGGTATTCCAAAAACAGTTGAATCAGAACTAAAAACCCATACATTAGATATACATATACAT